TCAGCATTCCAAGCAGCCGGAATTACAGGCATGTGCTACCACACCCGGCTGATTTTTTTGATTTATTGTAGAGATGAGGTTTCGCTGCCCAGGTGGGTCTCGAACCCGCAGGCTCAGGCAATCCACTCACCTCAGCCTCCCAAAGGCGCGGGATTACAGGCTGAGCCACCAAGCCCGGCCCAGCTGGAGTTTTTAAAAGATAGTGAAAAACTGATTTTTAGGAAAAGTCAAAGGAATTAGAATAGCCAAGGTAATTTTGAAAAATAACAAAAAGGACTCAGTATTTGGTTTCAAGATTTACTATAAATGTGCACTAATCAAGACAGCATGGTATTAGCGAAAAGGTTATAATCAATGGGCCAGTTCAGAAAAGGGGCTTTCTACTAAAGGTAGAAAGGTAACTCAGTGAAGAAAGGGCAGCCTTTCAACAGAAGGTGCTGGAAGACTTGCACTTCCATATGCAAAAGAGAAAAATAAAAAAGAACCTTGGCCCATCTCACACCTTACACAAAATTTAAAATGAATCATAGACCTAAATGTGAAACTCCAAACTATAATGCTTCTAGAAGAAAACAAAGGAGAAAATGTTCTGTTGCTGGGTTAGGCAATGTCTTCATATACATGATTTAAAAAAAAAATCACAAACCATAGAAGAAAAAAAGGGACTTTTATCAAAGTGAAACATTTCTTTTTGAATGACACAGTTAAGGGAATGGAAAGACAAGCCACAAACTGGGAGAATACATTTTCAAATCACACATCTCATGGAGGACTTATATAAAGACCATTAAAAGAACACTCAAAACTAAAAAATAAACAACCCAAATTACAAAGTGGGCAAAAGATTTGAACAGACACTTCACCGAGGAAGAAATAAGAATACATGATGCATAAGCATACAGATAGATTCTCATCATCATTTTTCTTTAGGAAAATGTGACTTAAAACTACATGGGATCACATGACACACTATTAGTATGACTTTAAAAAACAAAACCAAACCCTGACAATATCAAGAGCTGAGAGGGAGGGGGAGCAACTGCAACACCCATAGTGCTGGTGGTGGGCGTGTAAAACTACACCTTTTTAGGAAAACAGTTTGGCGGTTTCTTACAAAGTTAAACATATACCTACCACGTGATCCAGCAATCCTACTCCTAGGTTTTTACATCAAGAGAAATGAGAACTTATGTTCACACAAAAACCTACAAGTGAATGTTTATGGTAACTTCATTCATGATTGCCAAGCACTAGGAAATAATCCCCACGTCCTTCAATTGATGCATAAAATAAACAAATGTACTTCACCCAGATAATGGAATACTACTCAGCAACGAAGAGGAACAAGGATGAATCTCAAAATGCTCAGCGGAAGAAGCCAAACCCATAGGCTACGTACTGTGTCATACTTTTGTGCGACATTCTGGAAAAGGCAAACACTAGCGATAGAGAACAGATAGGTGGTCACCAGGGGTCAAGGGTGAGGAGGGAGATTTTTTTTTTTTTTTGGAGGGTGGAAGAATGTTCTATATCTAGATTACCCAACTCCACAGCACACCCCCAAAATGTGCATTTCATCATAAATCAAACGAATCCATTTTTAATCATTTTGATGAAAATAAAGCTGGGTGGGGGGTAACCAGCCATGTCTGTTATCTTTAGAAAAAGGATGATTTCCCCCTGAGAGGGCACTGGGCTGGATTCAGTGGGCGCAAAGACAACTCCCGAGGGCTCAAGTGGAGACACCCTAAGCGGGAGGCTGTGCAGGGAGGCTGGAGAGGTTGCTAAACACCTTAGAAAAGGCAAAAAAGAAAAGAAAACCAGAGCGAAAGAACGAGGACGGTCAACAACAAGACAGCCAGCACCACTCGCGGGCCCAGCAGGAGAGGAAGGGAGGCAGCCACCGGTCAGGTACAGGGCTGCCCGGGGCGGCCGGAAGCCCAGGGCCGACCCCCGCGCCCCGCCCCCGGCCCTCGTCTCCTCCCGAAGCCGTCACGCCGCGCACACAACAGC